CACTTTATTAAGCTTTAAGTTACATCTCAAATGACAAGGGATCAAATTATAATCATGTTTATATTAATTAGCCTGTGAACTCATTCTCTCAGACAGCATGGGTATGTGGAGCATTCGCAGCTTATATGGATGGAACGCCACTGCTATATCGTAGTGATCATAAACACAGCTCAAAGCTCCTTACCAGTGGCCCTCCCTCACAAAACTTAACATCTACCCCAGTTTTGTAATTGGTAGAGTATAAAATATTTCAGTACAAGCTTTTCAGCCAAACAGAATTTATGCAAAATGTCAAACCATTAGCCCTGTGGCAACAGTTGAAAATGTGCCCAATTCCATGGGAAAACCGCAGACTTGGCAACCCTGTATTTAAGAATGTGACACGCAATGTTAACTAGACCAGCCTATTGATAGACCGATCTAAAAATGAGCAGACCCACTGTAAACTGTTGATTCAGTTGATATTCACGTTTATTTAACTTGTCAAACCAGTCAGTTTACATGTTACCACATGAAACACGTCACATGATCAAACATTTAATAGTTTTAAAGGAGAGCCTATTATAGAGTACATTTGAGTAATGAGTATTCATTTAGAAGTAATACATTTATCCCACTGCAGGTTTGTCGCAAATACAAAGAAAAAAAAACTCCAGCAAAACAGCAACAATCAAAATGCAAAAGAAAAAATAGGCAAATGTGAAATTTACATTTGTTATTTTTGCAGTGCTGTTTTGGGCCTTAATCATTGAGCATGTCTGAATGAATTGTGTTGAATTCCACCAGCGACGTGGCGTTTCCTCAGAAGAAGAAGAGGGCGAGGTGGACAGTGAGGTGGAGTTACCAAGGAGACGGTAAGAATATAATCTTTTATTCTTTCTGAAGTATGTTCTGTGTGAACTAAGGTAGTTAGGAGTTGCTTTATTTATGTAAAGCACCCATAATAAAATAAGGCCTTGTTTACACCCACTGGGTGAGCATTGTATGCCTGGTCATAGCACACATGCTAAGGTGCTCAGTTATGGAAACTTGTTAGATCAGTGTCTCTCAACCCAGTTCCTCTAGGACAGTATACCGGGAAGCAAAACTTACCTGGATGACCTACTACTTGCACATTCGATGGACACTTTACTCTCCCATGAAGACACGGGAGCCACTTTATTTTACAGTCTGGTTCCACGTATGCATACTATGTACTTATTATAGTGATTACAGAAACTGGGTAATAACTAGGTACTAAACCTGATCCTACCGCTAAGCCTAACCCATGTAGTTACTGTACCTTACATTACCATTACTTTCTTAGGTTTTTAACAATTCTGATTTTAATATTCCCTCGTTTCATGGTTTGTATGTTTTCTATAATGTTAATTTTGCAGACGGCCGACCAGTATAACCAAGTGCCAATCAGTATCCACTTTCAGCTCCGAGAACCTTTCCGTGTCCGAGGGAGAGGAGGGCCACACCACTGACCACTCCCACAGCGGCACGCCAGACGTGGTCAGCACCAACACCGACGAGCGACTGGACGATCGCAGCGATGACCTCATCTCCCAGGGATCTGAGATCCCTGTTGATATTACAGACCCTACTCTGTCCGAAAGAGAGGCCGCTGCCCTCGAACAGGAGAGGGCCAACTTTGACCTGGAACAAAATATCCTGGAGGTACCAGTATTGTGTGAAACCTTTCAAAACATATCGCCCCGAGAAAAACAAATGTTGCAGGGTTTTCCAAACCCGGCTCTGGAGGTTGCAGACGGCAATTTGCAGACAGACTCTGTGTAGGTCGGACCTCCAGGACAAGACTCTAGAAGCCTGCCTTCTATTTGAAGTTTTTGTTAATGTTAATGAATGTTCGTTTAGGCAATCTTAAGAGCTTCATATATATAACATGTCCAAGAGTTTAATCACACTCTTTGTCCTGTTCCCAGACTCGCGCGTTGTGTGAGGACTCGGACTGTGACAGTGCTGAACTCGACCAATCAGGGAGCGGAGAGCCAAGTCGTCCCCCGAGCGCAGGAGGCTGGGGCCAGGGTCCTCAAAACTGAAATGCACACACACACACAC